TTTTTGGTTTTTCAAGACAGGGTTTCTCTGTGGCTTTTGGAAGCTGTCCTGGAACTAGCTCTTGTAGACCAGGCTGGTCTCGAACTCACAGAGATCCATCTGCCTCTGCCTCCCTATTGCTAGGATGAAAGGCGTGCGCCACCAATGCCCGGCTTTTTCTTTAACTTTATTTTGAACATAACAGCTTAGTTTCAGTGATCGTTTCCAGGCCCAGTGTCAATACCCCTTCCTGTGTTAGCACTCTTCTGTCCTTGAGAAGCCATGGTTTCATTTTCAACCCACGTGGTTTGGATAGGTTCATTTTGGAGATTCTGGGATGCATTGCAAGGTATAACACCACCTCTGCTGCTGCCATCATCACCATGGGACCAACCACACTACCACCATGATGCCACCCTCACCGCCACTTGAAGCTATCATGAACTTTCTAAATGTGAGCATACAGCTAGCCAGACCACTCAGCCATTGAATTACCAGTCTTTTGGCCGAAGTCAGAATAAGACAGGTGCTCTTTACCCAGTGAGGATTGGTCAGCTTACAAGACTGGGTTTGATGAGCAGAAATGTTTTAATAGCTCAGGCTGGATAATTAACTTCTCGGGCAATTAAAACTATATCATTTACTCCAGTTCATGATTTATAACACAGTGCTAGAAAATTATATTTAAGCATCAACAGCTGACATTTTCCCCCATCCTTGCCATGTCTCCTTGAAATAATACAGATGAAAGCAGTGGACACAGACCATGGTAGGCAGGGCTTGGCTGTTTGGGTCCAGCTGTCTGGAATAAAATCTGGCATTATTGTATGGCTCATTCACTGTCTCCTTTTGCACTTCGTCCATGCAGCCTTTGAATATAAGGTATTAACAGATGGAAAAGTCAATTCTGAGAATTCCAACTGAGCTCAAGTGTTAAGTGCCTGTTTAGAACCCACGCCCTTGGGAGCGTTCATATATTTTAGGAACAGAAAGCAAACAGCTGTGACCCACCCCCAAGCCTTCATTCCTACCCTGAATCTTGGCCAGATCTCTAGTTCAGGTGGATCTTAGTTGGATGTAGCATGGCCTGGAGTCGTTTACCCCAAGTGACTAAATG